ATATAGCAGTAGAATACGCAGGATTTTAGTTCGGTTATGATTTTACATGAGTATATAATTTACATTATGTTTTGCTAAACAATTTTTATATAATTATCTATAACAAATTATAATTAATAATAAAYTAACAATTTGTTTTATATTCATTAAAAACTATCAATAATTGATCGACTTTGTGTATTGATGAAATGGTGGTAAAGATTTTTTTGTGAAAGACATTATTGTACTGTCCTGCTTAGATTTTTAAACACTTTATACATGGAGTATGCATTTTATGGAGAGGGTTGCTTAGGTGGGGGGAKCTGGTAATTAACACTCTCAGATTTCAAATTAACAATACTAGTTAACTCTAATTACCCAAAGTAATTTATTCCATAAAATAAAATATAAATTGTATGTTATTTAAAGATAATATTTGTTCATTCAACATTTAGACATGTATATCGGTTACCTACACTATTATTTTATAAGTATTTCATTTAAGTAATGTACTATCATGAATAAAATCGTATAACTTAGCATTTGATACAATGCTGGATAATAACGTAATAAAAGTATCACGTTATGTAATTGCAATAGAATTTTATAAAGTATAAAACCAAAATGTAATTGACTTTTTTTTATATATATAAGTATAATTCTTGCATGTAAAGATTTTATAGATATGTACCTACCAACCTACCTGATCTCTTTTTCTTGGTTCCCTTTCAAAAACGCTAGAAGTTACCAGCTATTCCGAAAATCTRCCCAAACTATATATTAAAGACACAATTACTCCATTCATATATAACATAATAATGTAATAAGTAGGTATTGAAAATATATGTATTATATAATTAAACTATTTGTTTCTGAGACTCGTTTTACAGTTGTATATTAATTTAATTTTAATTCATCCATTACGCTCATTACTAATAAATTTGAATTTTTAATACATTTTATATTATAATATTATAATCTTTGAATCAATCTTCATCCGGTTTGAATAGCAGAAATACATTTTTGCGAAGTTATCAAAAATTWAAAAAATGTAATTTAATACTATTTAATGGTTACGAGTGTTACGACCTCTCCTCCTGAAGGTGCATGTAAATTATTTTAAATTTCAACTCGTTACAATTAAATTCTCAATTTTTGGACACCATATTTATAATTGCACTGTATAGATTAGGTACTTGATTAAATTTAGTTTTCTTAAATTATTTTATATTTTTTTCGACATCTCGTTAAAATTAAATCTATCTAATACTCATAAGATATTTTTTTACTGACATCAGTTGTTAATTGACGAATGGTAAAAAATTATAAAAATATAAATGTGTATTTTTTTTCTA